CTACAATGGTGAGCGAAATCCCTCGAGGGCCTGATACACCTCTGATTTCACTAAGCAAGCTTAGCTCAACGAATCCATCTCCACTCTTACCACTCCATTTGGTTGATATTGTATACAGTTATTGTTTTACTCTTCGTATCTATAATGGAGAGTGGCAATCTGATTCGTTAGGTGCAGCGACAATGGTGTTGACTGTTTCATCAGTTTTGGGTCAGAATGCACAACCAGAGACCATAAAGGAAGTGTTGTCGTTCTGCTTGGAACAGACATGCTCTTCGGCTTATAAAAACCTCGGTGGCGGTCTGAAATTCGGATTGAATCTGGTCGATGATGTGATTCATTTGCTTTCTCTTGGCAATGGAGCTCTGGTGTGCCTGTTATGTGATCTCCAAAGGTTGATTCATAGTGCATTACAGGAAGGTAAATCATCGGGGCGTGATCTGAAGAAGAAACTTAAGCTTGCAGAGAGAAAAGTGTTTTTCATGATGTGTTGGGTCAATGAGCAGACTTCAGAAGTGTGGCATGCTCTGGAATCTGCAGTAAGGGCAGAGAAGAACTCGGTGGTTGAGCTCCACGATTGCAAAGGATTTCAAGACATGAAGAAGAAGAAAGATCCTATCCGAAAACGCGGCGGCGTGGTGATTGAGGAGATAGAATGAGCTCTAATGTTGTAGTTATAGCTTGATGATGAAATGTGTGTTAACAAATGGAGATCTTGTTTATCAATTTTGGAGTTGCAAATACAAACAAAAAACACTCTTCTAGTGGTTTCCTTTTGTAAATTGCTTCTCAGGGTTTTTATCATCTTACACTTATTGGTTACACCTCCGAGACTTTCCTTCTGGACAGTTTAATCTTCACGGGATTGCCGCCTGTCTCCTCGAAGATCACCAACTCATTTCCGGAAGGCTTAAACCATGATCGCGGAACATGATACCTAAGCCAAAAATCAATAATCAGATTTGAACAAAGAGGTGTGAAAAACGAAAGATGAGAACTTTAATGGCTATTTAGATTTTACCATCTCTGAGATGGCTCTCCACATCCAGTTAGGCATTTATCCGGCATGAATTTGCCTCTGTAATCACATTCTTTGATGCATTCATCGTGCGGGTAGTTCTTTCTAGCAAGCCTAGGCCAGTATCTTCCAATCTCTTCACCGTTTAACCAAGCCATGCCTTTACCCATACTGATCATATCCAACCCAATTGGTTCACTCCCAGAAGGTGAGTCTATGACAACCTACCAAAAGCTTAGATTTTTTAGATGGAGGAAATACGACTTGTTCTTCTACAATCTTGGATCTAGTCCAAGAGTTACATTACCTTATACCAAGTCAAAGGTTGTTTCTTGGGAGGTTTTGTAGTCATCGTCCATTTCACAGCCCCGGAGTTACCAGGCTTGAACAGACCTAGATGTTCTCCTTGCACGCCGAGCTGCAAGATTTCATGGGAATAGTTTTAAGAATCTCGTTTAAGAGAGAATCACTCACAAGAAAGGTTTTTAAGTAGAGAGATATATAACCTTGTAGGACCATTTGGTATTTGTCAAATTCAGTGTGCCACTATTGAGTCCTTTGATTGAGACACTTGTAAGCCCGGCTCCAACCCATTCGTAAAAAGATCCTGCATTCTGTAACCAAATGTATCAGTCCCGATGACAAGGCAGAACCACAATGATATTTAGAACAAGATAATTCGAAACTTTCTGTTCAGAGAATTACCGAAAGACCAACAGTCATGCTAAGCAAATCAATATTGTTTTCGCCCGCTTTGAGAGAAACTGATTTCTTGAGCTTGAAGGGCACATGAGTTCCATTCCCTGATGCAGTGCCTAGAAACCAGTAGTCACATTTACACGCGAGTAATTAAAAACTCGAGTACCGAGAAATCACAAAAAGAATCACAGAGTTCTAGCAAGTACCTAAGTACTCCTTGTTAATGAAAACATGAAGAGTATGTCCCTTTGATTCAATAAACAGTACCGGGCGGCTTCCATTCTTCAGGAACTCTTCATTATTACTGACCGTTATGCTGCAAGAGATTGAATACATATGCTTTAGATTCTTTCTCAACAAAGTCGGCTTCTCAGCGGTATTACCAGTATCACTGACCTTGTTGTGTACCAAAGATAGTCAGTTGTGTCCTTTGTGGTGTTGATATGATCAACAAGTTCGTTTTTCACAAAGTCTGCTTCTCCCCAAATACCTGGTTTCTCGGAGAACACTTGCCATTTAAGATCTGATGAAGATTTCAAATCTTCTGGTAACATTTCGACCTTGGAGGACTTCGAAGTTACCTGTTGCAAAATGTAAAAATCAGCTTTTTGTTTAGGTTGTGTTTTCCGGTATGTCATTGTCCAAAATCAACTTCTTCTTTTTTTACCTTTGCGGTGTTGAAAACCGCGTTCTTGCAGTCAGGTAGAATGCTAACTGACCAAGCAGGTAAATGATATGATGTGTTCCGAAACACAACCGTCTTGTCATTTTTATCATCAGCGTTCGACAGAAACGCAGAACAACTTCCTGAAGAGTCTGTGTACACATCAGCCTGAAAATCGAAAACACACCATCAGAAGGAACATTCTGACAGAAACAGAAGTCTTTTTCGCGGCGGTTAAAAACAGAAAATCTACCTCGAGTGAAGGGCCTAATGTAACATTCTGATGCACGCCGCTGATCAACATGTTTTCAGAGAGCATTATAGCTTTATGGAGATTCTTAAGGTGTCCCCATTTTGGTAATCTTGGCAATCCTAACAATGGAATAGAAACAAACACAAGTTATATAGCCATGGAAGAGTTATCTCACTCCATAGTGATCTCTTTGTTACCAAACTCACCATACTCATCGATTGGAGCTTCATAGTCATAGCTTGTTGTGATGAATGGTCCTCCTGAAGTACGTCCAAAATTCGTCCCTCCGTGATACTACACCAAGTAGCAGACAAAGCATAAAACAAAACAACACATTTAGTTGTGATGCAAAGCTAACTAATTTGCTCGGTCTTGAAGAAACTAAGTAATAATATTACCATGTAGTAGTTGTGAACACTACCGCCTTTCTGGAAAAAACGAGCAACAGAGTAAGCTACATCCTCTGCTGGTCTGTGAGGGTCTCTGCCTCCAAAAGTTTTAAACCTGGAAGAAGAGGAAAACTCTTTTGAGACCGCGATAATCAGATTTGCTTGCCAATGAATAAAAGCTCCAAAATGCTCCAACTTTGTATAGAAATGATAAAGGGACCAAGATCAATCTACTTACCATCCAGGCCAGTTCTCAGTCCAGATTTTGGGTTTATCAGGTGTATTAGGTGAGAATTGGTCACAGTAAAAGCCATTGCAGGTACTAATCTGCAAAAGGAAATAAGAGAAATCCATCAAAACCTGTCACATAACCAAAGATTTGACACGTGTGTTTCGGATTTTGATATAGACTTACCACAGTTGAAGGAGCGTCCCATTGCTGGCACATCATCCATGGAACACCAATGTTCTGTGAAACAGCCATAGAAGCAGACCATTGAGCATACCGCTTCCCTCCTTCACCGTAATCCCGCTCATAATACCCGTACTCGTTTTCCACCTAATGAATTACGATTTTAAGAACAAACATCAAGATAACATGCCAAAAGGAAACAGAATGGTACTGAAAGTGATATGTTATCGTTTGAGTTGCCTGAGACAAGATTATTGGACCGCCCTGTGGTGCGAAAAGCTTCTCTTTTTTCAACAGGTTTACTATATACGTCGTGAAACTCTCCATGTAATGCTGAAACAAAAAAAAATCACTTGAGCAAATGAATTTTCTAGTAATAGAAGAAACCGAATTTCACATATTACTGCTTTCTACCTTCCACGGCTCGTTATCCGCCCTGAAGACTGTTCCTGGCACATAATGCAGCCAAACAGGGACTCCTCTATAATCAAAAGATTTAAATTACAATCCTTTAACTTTCGTATCTAAATGGGACAGTATTAGTGATTGTTCATAAAAGGCATTACCCGTAATTCCACTCGGCCGCAACAAAAGGACCAATCCGCAGAATCATATGCATTCCAGCTTGCTGAACAATCTTGATGAACTTCACTAGATTATACCGTCCGCCAAAATAATACTACAAGCCAATGTACACAAAGCTCAACAGACATTTGGGAGATATTTCAATATCTAATTGCGAAACCCATTAGAGTTACTTATTGAACATTCCAACCTTTCCAGGAGATGGCTCATGGCCATTCCAAAACACATAAGACTCGATTGCATTGCAGCCTCCTTCTTTTGCTGTTTGAACAAGTGATGGCCACATCTGCGAACCAAAAAAAAAAGAAAAACAAATTTCATCCACAAGAAAATTCTCAAGAGAAACATTTCCAATTTAACCACAATGACACTRAAGCAATTTAGATATCCCCAAATCATTTGCCATCAATAGAGACTGATTCAAGAATCTCCTCGGTGAAAGAATGAACTAATCCCACATAAAGCTCGAAACTTTATTAGATTAAATGTACAACCCAAGTAAGAGCTACTAACGGCGGGAACACTTCTCGGATAATGAATAGCGGCGGAGATAATGAGCTGACGGCGACCGCCGATTGAGAGAGAGCGGTGGTCGTAAGTCACATTCGCCGTCGCAGTAGCTCTCCACGAGAAGAGAAACACCATCGCCACCACCAGAATCGCCGGAGAAGCAATGTTCTTCATTTTTAGAGCTCTTCTTCTTCGTCTTCCTCGAGTGAGTGTTGTTTCTAAAACTCTGAAACCCTCTTTCTTTCTAACTGAGAGGGAAAACAAGATTTATCCTTTTAAGAGCTTCCAGAAATCTTCTTGGTTT